TACTTTCAAACACACTCCGAGGTTTCTCGGGATGATCCGATCCGATTCCATGTGCTTGTTGTCCTCGTTGCAGTGGTGTCAGCGCTTCTGAATACGACAAAGCGTAGCATTGTAGTGGTGGAGAGAACATTACACGATGGTACAGTCCATTACATGGTGTTTGCAACTAGGCAACAAATTGTTGGAGTTTGAATTAGTGGGTACAACTTGTGTGAATGAATGGGCAAACCAGCTTGAACAAAGGAAATGCATGTTTTGACGAGCAATGCAGATACAACAAGAAATGTTAACAACACACTAGGAGAAAGTTATGATAACTAATATACCAGCTCTTCCCCACCCTGCCTAACCTACATTCATCGCATTGGAATGAGATAATCTCCTCTCCTCGCCCCCACACCCCTCTCCTGCCATACCTACATACTAGGACTTCTCTCCCTCCCTCCTTATTAGGAACACGACTACTCTCTTCCTCCTAGTTCTCTTCGTCTTCCTCATCCTCCTCATCATCCTCACCTTGGTCACCCTCTCCTTGGTTACGATCTTCATACGCCTCACCCTCTCCTTGGTTATCATCTTCATACGCCTCACCCTCTCCTTGGTTATCATCTTCATACGCCGCACCCTCTTCGTCTTCATCTTCTGCATTCTCTTCCCTTTCATCCTCTTTCATTTCGCGTTCTTCGTCCCCTTCATTCTCTTCTCCATCCTCTTCATTCTGTTCCTCTTTATCCTTTTCATCCCCTCTCATCTTGCCTCCTTCAACCAATTCTTTCTCCTCTTCCCCGTCCTCCTCATCCACTTCTCCATTAATTCCTGGCTGACCATTACCCTCTCCATCCTCCTCTCGCTCCTCCTCTCCATCCTCCTCTCCATCCTCCTCTCCATCCTCCTCTCCATCCTCCTCTTCAACCCCCTCTTCATCATCATCCCCCATAAAAGCTTCCTCTTCTTCATCGTCCTCTTCTCCTCACTACACTCCATCCCCTCCATCAAATCTAAGCACGTCTCATACTCTCCGTTTTCTTCCTCGTCCGTCCACTCATCCTCCTCATCTTCTTCCTCCCCATCCTCCCCATCCGCCCCACCGTCTCCGTCCTCCCTCTTCTTGCCGCCCCCCTCTATGCAGATTCTCTTGGCAATTTTCTTTGAAAGCAGAGGGCATGCGCGAATCAAACAGTTGCGCAGCATCGGCACTTCCCGGGAAGACCTCGGCTTCCAAACCAGCTTCTCACAGTAGCTCACATCCAACTTCTTCAGCTGGGGCAGCTGCAGAAAAGTTCCGGGCAGCTTGGAAAGATTAAACAGATCCAAAAGCATCAAGGCCTGTGGATGTCTTTTGGCATAGATGGAAATCCCACATTAGCAAAAACACAATGCTGCAGCTTTGACAGGCTGGAAAACGACGCTGGAAGCTTGACCAGCCTGGGACACCTGATGATTTTCAACGTCTCCAGCTGCCCCAGCTGCCCGAGCGACTCGGGCAGGCGAACCAAATCATTGAGCTCCACCAATTCGAGGACTCGCAAGCAGGAAAGCGATCCAATGTTTTTTGGCAGCGCTTTCAGCCTCCTGCAGCGGAAGATACGGAGCACTTGCAGATTCGGAAGGCCGGTGAAGGAGTTGAGGTGAGACCAGATTTTCCATAAACAGAATCTCCAGGCTTGTCAGCGATGACAGACGGTTGAGGGACGGACCAAAGGACTGGAAGGAAAGATCTTTAACGCTCAAGCTCTGAAGGGATGGAAGCACCACTCTGCTGGCATTCCCGCTCAGATTGTTGCTGCTGCTGGTGCTCGTAGCCCTGCGGCTGCTGCTGCTGCTGCTGCGGTAGTCCAAGGTCCTGCTAGCCGCCGTTTCATCCCCTAGCAGAGTGGGGACTTTGAAACACATCCGCACCTCTAGCACCCGCAACTGTGGCAGCTCAACCAGCGACTGAGGGATGCAATCCAAGCGGTACAGCTTCGAGAGCCTGAGCTCCTGGAGTGCTCCCAGCCGTCCGATGTCCCCAGGCAGCGCTTCCACCTCCGGGCAGTTCATCAGTACCAGGCTGGTGAGGGAGAGAAGGCCGGAGACAGACCTAGGAAGGCCAGACAGTCGACGCATGTCACGGAGGGACAACTGCTTCAGTTTCCCCAGTCGGCCCAGGCCTTCGGGCAATTCTCCTCTGAAGCGCCTTGCTTGCAGAATGTTCAGGGATTCGAGGGAAGAAAGGCCGGAGACGGAAGGAGGGAGGCGGGTGAGAGCTTTGCAGTGAAGAATATCTAACTTGCGCAGATTAGGCAGTCCGTTTCCCATGCTGCTTGGTAGTGTAGAGAGCCGCCAGCAATCTAACAGAATCAGGTGTTCAAGGGATAATAACGCTGATAAGGACTCGGGCAGCTGCTGCAGCCGATGGCAATCCATGATTCTTAGGCTCTGAAGTTTCGTCAGGTGCCCAAAGGACTCGGGCAGGTGGGTGAGCTGAAGAAGGCCATCCAGGTGGAGTGACTCCAGAGCAGCCATCTACCCGAATTCCTCGGGCAGACAAGTCAATTTAACGAGACCAACGAGGGAAAGCTTTTGGAGCTCTGGGGCCAGAGAGATGGAATCAGGAAGGCTGGTAACGTTCTTAGCAGTCAGCACGAGCGTTCGAAGCGCTGAGAAGTGACCGATTTCGGCGGGCAGCTCGGAAAGATCCGGAAGAAATAGATCGAGATCCGTGAGCGCAGGAAGACGGATGAGACACCGAGGCAGAGACGCAATGCTTAGGCAGTTGATCATGGTAAGTCGCTTCAGCCGCTGCAGCTGCCCGAGAGACTCGGTCAGGTCAGGCGTTTTGTATATATCCTCCAGATGTAGAGTTTCGAGAGCGTGAAGCTGCCCGAAATTCGCGGGCAGCGCTTGAACGAGTACTGACTTCCGAATCTCCAGAAACTCCAAGGATGAAAGGTCGGGAAGAGAATCGGGCAGCCGAAGCAACCAAAAGCCGACGATGGAAAGACGGTGTAGATTCGTAAGTTTCCCAATACATTCTGGGACTGGCACCATCGACGCGCAGCCTTCCAGAACCAGCGACTCCAGAGAAGTAAAGTCTTAGAAATTTCGTGGCAAATCTTCCAGCTTGGGCAAGCGAAGCTTCAGGTGTCGGAGTGATTGTAACGAAGTGAATGTATCGGGAAGGAGCTCGATTTCTTCCCCGGCGAGGTGAAGATTCGTGAGGAAAACGAGATGGTCGATGGCAGGAGGAATGGCGGTGAGACGATCCGGACAGTGCAGATCAAGGACCTCCAGACGAGTGCAGCTCGCGAAAAGGCGGGACAGACCGTGTTCGGTGAAAACTCCGCTACTGTCGGATACACCGAATGAGTCTGGCCTACGAAAAGCGACTTTAAAATCGGCGAGATCGCGACACGTGTCGGCGAGGCAGCAGAGGAGATCATCAGAGACGGCTCTCAGGCTGCCAGCGGGGACGATGAGCTTTCTGAGGTTGACGAACCGCGAAAGCTGCGGAAGTAGCTGATGAGGATCCACAAAGCAGTCCGCGCTCAAGCAGACGCTGTCTTGTACGCGAAACGCGATGTCGTGCCATTGCTGGCAGACGCTAGCGTGAATCAACTGGCAGTCGGATCGAGCGAGGAGATTGAGTATTTTCGACAGCAGGTCGTCGGAAAGCCGTTGGATTGGCGATCCAACCGGCATTTTGAGCAGCAGGAGATGGAAAGGACTAGATGGCTCTTACTAGGTCTGGTTTCTATTGGGCCTGTCTCTCACTGAAGAGGAGAGACACAGCTGGCTGTTGGCAGCAGTGACCGCTAAACATTGACAAGAGAAACCTCGACATGGCCTGTTTAGGAGAAGCCTACAATCCCAAGAAAGAATATCTAGGGAGAGCTATGTGATCCAGGAAGGATGTGTTTGCCGGTGCATCAAACCACAAACAACCCACGCGAGCATTTATTTGCGAGAAGAGTTGGATTTTGAACGTTAGTTGCTTTCGACGCTTTAGATTGCAGAGAATGCTACTGAACCGTAATGGACCGCAAATTACAGGCATCAGCTGCCGCAGTCGCGAATCGTGTTGGAGTCAAATTTCGAGAGCCCATCGTGCGAGTCGCGGCCATCCATCACCAAGTCACGTTGAGGGATTCTCCAGGTGACGAGATTTGTTCAGGGTGAACGACAGTCGCGAGCTTCGCTTCATCTCGTAGACGTGGTAGACCCGTTCTTCTATGACTCACAGTGCACCTGAGCATGCGATTGACGAAAATTCCGACGGAATTGTGGGCAAATTTGAAAACACGAATCTCCTCGGTAACATCAATTTCGCGCGAAGGCTCCAGAAGTGAGTGGTCCTGTCATCTCGTTTATCACTTACTGAATGGGGAGGAGTCGTGTTGAGCTTTCGTGACAGGCCTTCAGCCTCCTCATCCAATAAGAATCCGTGTCATTCCTTGCTCTCGTCGACTTGACACCCAACCATTCCGGTGGCCTCGTTGATAACGGTTATGTCAGTTAATTCGCGGTTCACAGAGGTTCAGACGGCTGTCCGTGCACCCAACGAAAGTATATGTGACGAAAACGCCGAACACGTCCTGGGGTCCCGAGCCTTGCAAGAAACCACACTTGGCTGGAACATTCCCCAGGTGGGGGGTGGTTGTTGCTTTCAAGGCAGATGGTCTTCAGCTGCTGCTGTTTTCGTGTTTCACATGACCTTTCTGTGATTCAGAGATTCTTGGACGCCAGAGCTCACCAGTATAACGAGGATTAGACTACTGTTTGCTCAGACGTTCACTGTGGTTTAGCTTGAGAAGCTTTCCGTAGCAGCTTCTAAAGGCTGGTTGTGCGCAGTTAGGCTGCGGTTGTCCTGCTGTGACTGAAGCTAGAAAGGTGACAGCCGTTGAGTGGAGATTTTAATTCATTCAGGAGCGCTCTTTTCATATTCAGTTGCCCGTAAAATAGTCGTAATGGTCCGAAGTGGGGGCTCGTATGGCGATATCGAGTCGGGAGCTGGCGGGGCCATGAGGTCTACAGCGTATGCGTCGGAGCAGAGCAATGAAGAAGCGTTGAGTCAATTGGAGGAGAGGGCTAGACTAATCAAAGAGGTAGGAGAAAAAAACAGCATACGTTAGAGATTCACGACCTAGAATGGATATAGTGGAATTGGTGAAAGGGGATAAATGTATAAGGCTGATAACGATAAGGCTGTAAGATATTTCCGCTGGGAGCGAGCCAGAGTGGGACCGGCATATTGTTACACTGACGTATGTCACGATGGATTTGGTTCGCTGTGGGAGACGGGAGGCTGCCTTTGCTGACTATATTTCGGAGTGAGAATGAGGAAGTGATTGGACGTTTGAGCTTCAACGATGTGAGAATCCGGAAACGAGAAAAAGAAGAGACTCCTTTCAAGCAATAACACTTTATTTTTCTTTCCTGCCAAACGGTGTGCTTCCGTCTGTTCTCAACCATTTGTCCTTGTGCCAGTTAACCAAAGACATACATGGCGAGGTTCAGTCACAAAATCGTTTCCTGGATGGCATGGTGAGTATTTAGCAACTGTGATTTTAGGTCACAACTGTTGACGCATGTTTACTGTGCTGCTGAATCCCGCTGCCTTGCCTTCTGGAGTTTTGACATTGGTTTCAGTGCTTTATTTTGAAAACCTAATTCACTGGTCTGCGTTTTTTCAGGGACTGGAAATGGACTCTGCTCGAAGAATGCTTGCTGGAACAGTGGATCGCTTCACGAAAGTAAGTTGATTCACCTCTCCCCCTTCCCTGCACCTTCTTCATCTGATAACTCCTTTCACAGCCCTTCATATTCTGCTTCCAGCCTTCCTGTGTTTTATGTTCACTAGCATTACAGCTACGTCTCTGCTCGTCTGCACCTCAGTTTTCCTCATGTTTTGGCACTCTTTTCATTTGCAGGTGTTCAGTTCCAAGCAGAATCGGGGCTTGGCAGCCGTGGTTGTTTCGTGTGTAACACTCTTCTTCATCCTATACTTCTTTACAAAGCAATGAGAAAACACTGCCAAATCTATGCTTTTGTTGTGTCATGCGTTCAGTTGGACGTAGTTTGATGTCCTTGTCTCGCATAATAAAATGATGTGAAGTGGTACAAGACAAAAGCAGGAATATGTAATGTTACCTATTTTTCGAAGCTATGATCCTTGAGAAAACGTCGGAACCGCATGGAACCCCCGGCTAGTTCTCCACGCCACCCTCCCCTGCTGACCAAACAGATATGCGGCTCATGAGGTGGTTTGCGCTTTGAGCGGTAATAGAAGATCGCAACTGGTTGGGTAGGCTTTTGAACGATCGAGAACTTCTGAATCTCCTCACTCACCAACCTGACCTGATCCGAAAGAGCCTGATCAGAAAAGCAGCACATTCTAGACCTAGATATCTCCTGCATTCAGTTCTCCAGTGGAGTTATCACCGCGTTCTTGTCCTAGATTCTATCTCCAACTTCATCCAGCGCTCTTAAATCGCAGTGCTATTTTGTGAACCTTCGGCAAATTGTTTCCGGTGGTCGCCACGTAAGCGTCGTGGCCTGGTTTCGACTGCGCATTTGAAGCTTAGTGCAGCTACTTACTCCTATTATTTGCTCGATTTCAGCTGGCCGCCATGGTTGCGCCCTTAAGACGCTTCCTTGGTTTTATTCTCGCTGCCGTGATCGCCATTGCGTGCTGCCAGCGAGGCTGTCTGGCGGTCAAATTCGAGGTCACGGCCTACTCGAAATGTTTAGGGGAGGAGATTCAGGAGGGAACCCTCGTTGTAGGAACATATTCAATCGTAAAGCACGACTCTCATGGGAACCGGCTGGACGAAACCGGCAGGGTCACAGCTAAGGTACGTATCGGCTTGTTCGGTTGGTAAAATAGTGCTGTTTAATACTGTTCTCAAGGCGTCCATGTGGATCAATATTATCCGCTTTCAGTGCCAAAGGTTGGATCGTAGATCGCGTCTTTCAATGCGGTCTTGCTTTTTGTATTTTTTGGTACGCGCCTGGTTCAAGTTATGCTTTTTTACCCCAACTTGTGCATGTTGCACAATGTAACTCCCAGTATCTTGACAATGGCTCTGTTGTTTTCCCATTGCCAGAATCCGCTGCCTATCGTGCCACTGCCTTTCCTCTTTCAAGGCCATTGCCCCATTGAACTTCCGCATCTCGTTGCTCCTGCATCTCATGTATCGCCTCCTCTACTCTCAAACAAAAAAGTAGTAATTTAGTCGCGATTCCAGCTTCCAGAATTTATAGGCATTCGTTTTTCAAGCTGCTGAGCTTGCGTGATGACATGGCAGGTGACGTCATTGTGCGGCCATCACATGCATTAGCACGGCAGCGTGAAAGAAGGACACTCACAACTAAATTTGGACCCAAACGTATAAAAAAATAATCACTTCTACCTTGCATAACCACATGGCAGGTGACGTCACCGTACGGGCATCAGCTGCACTGGCAGGACAGTGTGGAAGAGGGGCATTTCGGATTCACAACCAAGGAGACGGGCCAGTACATGGCGTGCTTCTGGCTACCCGTGGATCATCCGCAAGAGATCCACAGCGTCATGGTGAGGAAGGCTTTGAAACTTCTAGTTTTGAGGCGTGTTTTGAGACGTCTTGAAAACAGGGTTTGCAACCAAGGAGACAGACGGTGCAGTACATGGCGTGCTTCTGGCTACCCGTGGATCATCCGCAAGAGATCCACAGTGTTATGGTGAGGAAGCCTTGAAACGTCTAGTTTTGAGACGTGTTATGCTGAGACGTCTCAAAGAGCTGTGTTTACGACCAAGGAGGCGGGGCAGTACATGGCGTGTTTCTGGCTACCCGTGGACCGTCTGCAAGAGATCCAGTGTCATGGTGAGTGGAGCAATGACTGTTTTCTTTGTAACGTTTCAAAAGAGAGATGGTTGAGCCGTCTTTGTTGAAGGGGGAAAATGTGAGACGTCTCTTGAGGAAACATCCAGAGACGTCTCAACGGGGAACAAGCAAGATTGTTCACAAGGATTTATGACGAAGGAGACATGGCGTGCTTCTGGGTACTCATGGACCATTTGCAAGAAATTCAGTGTCATGTCATGGTGAGAGAGTCAACGGGAGACGATGGGGAAGGGGTTGAGGGGTGGGTATGATAGATGAACAATGAAACGGCAAACACATCATCTGCCATGACACAATTGTTGAGGCGCCTTAGAAACTTTCACCTGGAGGTGTATTTTTGCTTGCGTTCGCCACAAAGGTTTTGTCATGGGCTTCTGGAAGTGTATGCTCTGCTCCTTTTCGTCATACCCCTTTTCGTTCTGCATGGTGACACGAATGATGGTACTTACAGGTTGAGCTTGAATGGAAGATTGGTGTAGCAGCCAAGGACTGGGGCAAAATCGCCAAGAAGGACAAACTCGATGTGAGTTGCTTGGTTTCAATTGAATAAAGTGCTTTGTGCTGCATTTCCACTTGAGCGCATGGTCAGATAATGTAAATCATGAACGGACCTGGTCAAGCTTGTACTCGACAATGGCTGAAAGGGTGTTGGGATGTGCTTGACTCCTTACCTGCATGCATGCCTAGGATGTGCAATGTACCAGGGGTTTTCGTTTGGCTGGGGGTTTCACTTGCATGGTTAGTCTGTGCTCCTCTCAACCTTTCTATATCCTTTAATGTGCTTACAAATCGCTCACCATGTTATTGCCCTCATCTCCCTTGTACACATCACCATGCCTGTTCTGCTATGTTTTCTGGAAGGGTATCGCCCTGGAGCTTCGGAAACTGGATGAGGCAGTGAGATCTATTCGAGGGGAGATGGCCTACTTTCGCAAGAGGCAAGTAGATTGTGTTTCAGAGACACATTATTTTTCCCTGAGTGATTGAGAGGTGGAGTACTTGCCAGTTGATGGGAGAATGGGAAAGCTTTATTTTTGTCAGTTGAGAAGAGGTGGTCGTGTGCGAGTTGAATGCTGACAAAGGGGGCATTGGAAGTGTAGTGGTGGTTTCAAGGGTTTACGTAGTAGCAGGGGCATACCATCGATCAAGCTATGTTTCCAGCCCATCGCGTCATCACTTTCTGTCTGCCTTTTTCTGCCTGAAACCCACTTTTCCACTAACCAGAGAGTCAGACATGCGTGATTTGAACGAGGTGACGAATTCGAGGGTGGCTTGGCTGAGCATCGTGTCGCTGCTGGTGTGTGTGAGCCTGGCTGCCCTGCAGCTCTGGCACCTCAAGGCTTTCTTTGAACGCAAGAAGCTGTTGTGAGGGAGACTATCTTTTAGACGTCTCGAAAATCTTCTGCTGGTGTCTGTGAGCCTGGCTGCTCAAAAACCTCAAGGCCCTCTTTGAGCGCAAGAAGCTGCTGTACCGCAGCCAGATGTATGGTATTAGGGAATATTGTTATTATCTTGTCAACTAGGGTATTGAATTGATAGGTTAGGCAGATATATTGTACACTGACAAGGTCTTAGTATGCTACCTTCATGCTTGATTCTGGACTTCATCTCTGCAGCAGTCCTATCCAGTTCACTGAAAAACAGCATCCTGAGTCACTTTCCCTAACTCTTTCATAGGTAAGCACAAGCCTCAGCTGCTCCAGCTAGCAATTGCTGCATCACATTCTGTAGAAACCAACCATACCGGTACCATGGTGCAACAAAAAAAGAGGCCTTTCCTTGTGGCAATCTTTGCAACTCATTTTCCGCCAGTTCTCTTGCCTTTCTTCTTCCTTTTACTACCCTCGTCCTCTTCGTCCTCTCCATTCTCTTCACCATCCCAGAGTCCTGCATCCCCCTCCCCTCCCCCATTCCCACCTCCTCCTTCATGCTTCTCAATGTACTCGTTTAAGCAAGCTCCAATACGAGCCTTAAGTAGACCAATTGTGTCTGAAAGGCGAACCTTAGCTTCTTGTACTTTCTCCTCCCCTATCGCCATGGCTGTCGCCAGTCCTGCTGCGTCTGCTTGAGCTGCAATCGAGGCGCTTTGAACATCTGCGGAGGTTACACTGATTGTACGTGGCTCCTCGTTTCTTAGTGACACTACTGCAGAGGCCAGCACTGACGCCATTAATGGTAACGGCGTATGGACGCGCAACTCTTAGCAGCTATCCGCCTTCCTATCCTGGACCAGGTTCACACCTGCGAAAGACGTGTCACGGGGTTGGGAATGAGGAGGAAGGAAGAATCTATCGTGAGCGATTCCGCAACCTTGAAGACCATTGCAGGACATGTCCTAGTGAGTGAGTGAGAGCGATGGAAACGGAAGGCGCATACGCGCCAATTCACCTGAGAGCGAAAAGACGGATCGGCTTCGAGAGAAGGTGGGCGAAGGCGGAGCTAATGAAGCGCCTATCTGGCGAGTCTACCTCATGTGGGAAGGGGACGGGAGTAGGAGAAGTGAAGTGTGGATAGAAGTGGGAAGCTGCGGGATAGAAGGGTCGTTTGAATCAGACTCGCAAGCAAGCAGTGTGAGCATTAATTGGATTGAATAGAAATGCAAGTTTGAATAAATAGATGAGATCCATATCATGAAGTTGGAGAGGAGGGACTCTGAAATCCTGCAGAAATCTCGAGAAGATTGAACACTTTATTATAACTTTATGCATTATATTGTACATCATTCGAACTCCAGTCAATAATATAACATTGAAGTGCTTCATGTACACTTCGTCGACCTCAGCCCATACATGTCGCATGTTCTGGAAAGCCTTATGTTGAAATAAATTGTCCAACTCAAATCTCCTCCTTCCTACCTTCAGGAATCTCCTGTTTCATTCTCGCCTTAGTTTCTCCAACTGGGTGTGGATCCTCCCCTCCATTTCCGCCGCCCATAACTCCCCGCAATTTCAGTCAGGACGCAGCTTGGCATTATGGCGGAGGCGAAGCGGGTGCGCTTGGGTTTCGTGGGTGAGTGAGTGCGCACCGGCGTCGTCAACTTAAAAGTCATCCTGTTCGCGCCATAACCACTCGTTGACTGTCGTTGCCCCGGACCGCGACGTGACCACTTGCATACGCGTCTCATTGTGACCTGCGGTCTCGCTTCCACGAATCTCTCGTCTCGAACATGCTCTAAATTTCCCGTTCCGTTTCAAAATTCCCTCCATTTACTCTCCCCCTCCCTTTTTCCAACCCCTCCGCGCCAAATCCTTCCCCCCCAACACACAGGCGCGGGGCAGATGGCGGAGGCGCTGGCGCGGGGGATGAGCGCCGCGGGGGTGGTAGCAGCGAGCGACATGAGCGCCATGGATCTGAGTCAGGAGCGACTGGCGGTATTCGCGGAGATGGGTGTAGCTGCTAAGACGACGTGCAAAGAGGTATGCTGCATTGCACTTTCACATGGTGCTCTGGTTGTGTCTAATCCAACAAGCAGAGCGACATGAGCGCCATGGACCCGAGTCAGGAGCGACTGGCGGTGCTTGTGGAGACGGGTGTAGCTGCTAAAGCAAGGTGCAAGGAGGTGGGGTCTGTTACAGGGGTGCTTTGCCGTGTGTCTTACCAGCAGAGCCACATGTGCGTCGCTGCCCTTCCCTGTCCATTTTCCCTTTCCTACGCCGTGTGATGAGTCTTTTTTTTAGTCGACTTAAAAACAGACCCATCGCAACGTGCAAGAAGGTGGGGTCTGTTACAGGGGTGCTTTAAGGAGGTGTCTGTGTGTCTTACCAGCAGAGCCACATGTGCGTCGCTGCCCTTCCCTGCCCATTTTCCCTTTCCTACGATGCCTTTTCTTCCCTCCGATCCCATCCCAGCTTGCAGCAGCCAGCGATGTGATCTTCATAGCAGTGAAGCCCCACACAGTGCAGGCAGTGCTGTCAGAACTGAGGGACAGCGCCGCCATCACAAGCACCCACCTGGTTGTGTCAATTGCCGCGGGGGTCACGATTGCAAACTTGCAGCAGTGGGCGGGTGACGAGGCGAAGATTGTGCGAGTCATGCCGAACACTCCTTGTCTAGTGGGGGCGACAGCAGCAGGTGAGGCTGGTGGGGGGTCAGCAGCAGGTGAGTAGAGTAGCTGACAGTGCAGTTAGTAAGGCGCTCACACACTGTGCTGCAGCCATCACGATTCATAAGCAGCACTGGCTTAATGCATGTTTAGAGTGCCTAAAATGACCGCTCTTTCATCTCCCACCACCGTCATCTCACCACTCTTGACCCTCCCTCCCAGCCATGAGTCTCGGAGGCAAGGCGACAGCAGAGGATGCAGCATTGGTGAGGCGCATGTTCGAAGCGGTGGGGAAGATTCAGCAGGTGGAGGAGAAGCTTCTGGATGCCGTCACTGGGCTCAGGTACGCATGTGTGGACAGGTACGATTGTATGCGTTTGAGAGGTGTGTAAAGCGGTGAGGCGCATGTTCGAAGTGGTGGGGAGAATCCAGCAGGTGGAGGAGAAGCTTCTTGATGCCGTCACTGGGCTCAGGTATGGATGGCTCAGTAAAGGCTGCCTTGTTCGCTACCATGGGTGTCTTGACGGCTGTATGGCACTTTTGTTAGAAGCTGTGGGGCTCCCACCAAAATCTGAAGGTTGTGGAGGCAAAGGAGCTTGAAGCTAGTGGTATGTGTTCAGAAGGTGTGTAAAGTGGTGGGGCGCATGTTCGAAGCAGTGGGGTGAGATACAGTAGGTAGAGCAGAAGCTACTGAGTGCTGTCCCTTGCTCTCCTCTGAACCTGCACCCGTCTCCCTTTCTCCCCCCTTCTCGTCTCCCCCTCTCAGTGGCAGCGGCCCGGCATGTGTGTTCATGGCGATAGAGGCGCTGGCACATGGGGGAGGGGATGGGTTGAAAGTCTGTGGACGCACGTGCAGCTTACTCCCCTCTCTCCTTGCCCCTTGCTCGGCCCTTTTCTCCCCATGTACCTTCTCAGTGGCAGCGGCCCGGCATATGTGTTCATGGCCATAGAAGCACTGGCGGATGGAGGGGTGGCTGCTGGCATTGTGGTTGCTTCCCACCTCTCATAAAATGCTTCCCACCTGCCTCGTGCCCCTCAACTTCCCCCTCTCAGTGGCAGCGGCCCAGCATATGTCTTTATGGCGATAGAGGCATTGGCGGATGGAGGGGTGGCTGCCGGCCTGCCCAGAGACGTTGCTCTCTCACTCGCCGCTCAAACCGTACGTGCATCGCCCTTATTTTGTCCCAATGCCCTTGATTTATGTGAGCTGGTCACTGCGTAGCATGGCTCTCGTTTGACGGGTAAAACACCCTGATTACCCTTGCTATGGGCCGCATTTTGGCACTTCCCCTGATTTTATAAGTGCAAACGATTTTCCACACTTATTTTTTCAGGGTTACTGAAATTCAACCCTGGCGAATCAGGGTTGTACAAAAAACACCCTGAAACAGAAACCGACGAGAACAGTTCACGCGTGCTTATGTAGGAAAGAAAAATCCCAGCCCGTATCACAGATGCGCGAGTCACGGACACGCTGGCTGGAATTGGGTTCTCGCGTCATTTAGGACGACTAGCGTTGCCAAATTGCACCTGTGCTGGTTGGCAACATGCAGCGCACTGTAAAGAGACACCGCTGTTACAAAACAGCTTAACGAAAACTCCACCCTGATAGAATCAGGATGATTGATTGGAAACCCAGATTTACTCTGTTTTAGAAAGGGTATTCAACTTCTCACCCTAGCCATGGGCCAAATGTTAAGGTCGCACCCTGATTGACCAGGGTGCCCTAAAACCAATCTAGAGCCCTGCTGCGTAGGCCATGTTTTGTCGAGCTATTCAAGCAACACTGCTATTGTTATTGCAAGCAAGCCGATGGACCTCTTTCATGCTTCTCCTTTTAAATGGACAACCCAGGTGTACGGATCTGCAAAAATGGTGTTGGAAACCGGCAAGCACCCCGGCCAACTCAAAGACTCTGTGGCCTCTCCTGGAGGTAAATTATTTATATATTTTTTGGTATAGACCATTTTTTTCGCCATGTCCTTGAAAACAGCAGCTTTCTATTAATGATCCCTTTTTTGTTCTGTGTTTCTTTTCCTCGTGTTTTTTTGGTGCACAGGTACAACGATTGCAGGCATCCATGCTCTAGAGAAGGGAGGATTCCGAGCTACGTTGATGAACGCGGTGGTTGCAGCCACGGAAAGGAGCAAAGAGTTGTCTAAGTAGAGGCACATACATACTGAAATATTGTTGTGATAGGATTTCTTTTTTATGTCAGCTTAGTCGTACACTCAAATTGTTTACTCAATATCCAAATGTTGCGTAGGCTCATTTCACGACGCAAACTGAGGCAAACATAGCGGGTCATTTTTTATGGAACCGCATAATCCCCTCAGGGGTCTAGCAGGGTTACGGGTTTCTAGAAAGACCTTTCAGTGATACCCCATTTTAGCAAAATACCTGGAGTGAGTTTCTGTCGTTGGAACTTACGTACGCGGCATCGAGCTACGATCGTTTATAGGGTAGCCCTTGTGAAATTAAAGCCCTTCTTTCTCCTTGCCATCCTTGAGTCCGCAACGTCTACTGAGAATTTAAGTTTTTTCTCTTGGTTTTAGGAATGGCGGGAGTGGCAGCGGAGCAGGAGGTGCAGGAGGCGGGGGAGCAACCGGTGGAAGTTGCGCTCAAAGCGGAAGAAGCGGAAGCGGGGGAAAAATCAGGAGGAAGCGCGGCTCCGGCGGAAGACGCCGAAGCGGGGGGAGAATCCGAGGAAGTGGCGGAAGACGCGGAAGCGGGGGGAGAATCCGAGGGAAGGGCGGATCGGGCGGAAAATGTGGGGGTTTTGTTAGGCGGTGAGGGGAAAGGAGTGGCGGAGAACGGGGAGGATGGTGGGGACGAGGCGGAGGAGGAGAGGAGTGGGGCGGAGGAAGAAGTAGAGGAAGAGTTAGATGGGGAAGAGGCGGAAGCAGTGGCGGAAGCAGAGGCGGAAGCAGAGGCGGATGTAGAGGCGGAAGGAGAGGCGGAAGGAGAGGCGGAAGAAGAGGCGGAAGGAGAGGCGGAAGAAGAGGCGGAAGGAGAGGCGGAAGAAGAGGCGGAAGGAGAGGCGGAAGAAGAGGCGGAAGGAGAGGCGGAAGAAGAGGCGGAAGGAGAGGCGGAAGAAGAGGCGGAAGGAGAGGCGGAAGCAGTGGCGGAAGGAGAGGCGGAAGGAGAGGCGGAAGGAGAGGCGGAAGGAGAGGCGGAAGGAGATGTGGAAGGAGAGGCGGAAGAAGAGGCGGAAGCAGGGGCGGAAGGAGAGGCGGAGGCAGAGGCGGAAGAAGAGGCGGAAGCAGAGGGGGACGCAGAGGCGGAAGAAGAGGCGGAAGAAGAGGCGGAAGGAGAGGAAGCAGGAGAGGAGGAAGGACCGGATGAAGGGGGGGAAAGCGAGGAGGATGAGGAGATGGAGGGGGAAGAGAAGGAGGACGGAGCAGAAGGGGAAGAGGGAGAGGAAGAGGGAGAGGATGAGGAGGGAGAGGAAGGGGGAGAGGAAGAGGAGGGAGAGGAGGAAGAGGAAGAGGAGAGGGAGGAGGGCGAGGAGGGCGAGGAGGGGGAGGAGGGGGAGGAAGAGTATATGGTACTGAGCGAGCAAGCAGTGAGGCAAAAGTAAGTAAGACTCGTTTTGAGACGTAAGTAAGTCTCATAACAAACCTTCTATCAGGGCGAGGAAGAGTATATGGTACTGAGCGAGCAAGCAGTGAGACACAAGTAAGTGAATCTCGTGTTGGGTCGCCTCAAAACAAACCTTTTATCAGGAGGGCGAGGGGGGGGAGGAAGGGGAGGAAGAGTATATGGTGTTGAGAGAGCAAGCCGTGAGGCAAAAGTAAGTGTCGCCCGTGTGAGAGAGCAAGTCACACCGTACCATTGTCATCGTACCATCACACTGCCCATCCTTCCTACCCTCATCCACCCATGTTTTTAAACCCCATACCCTGCAAAAAAACAAAATAACAGGCCCAAACCCATGCCCGAAACCCTCTCACGCGTATCCGTTCTACCATATCTAAAACCCTCACGCTTGCTTTGTGCAAGATTTTGGTTAAGAGATCTTCACACTCTTACTTCCTCCCGTTACCCTTCCTTCCATCCCTTCTCACTAACTTTGCAGGAAACTAGACGACTATGCCCGCTCCTTCGCCCCCATCCCTCACGCCCTTACTTCCATCCCTTCTCACTAACTTCATCCCTTCTTTCCATTCCTTCCACCCTTCTCACTTCATCTGCAGGAAGCTTGACGACTATGCCCGCTCCTTCGCGCCCATAGTTTGGGAACCCAAAATCACCCTTCCCTCCTCTTCCTCCTCTACCTTCTCCTCCTCCTCTTCTTCTCCCTTCTCCCTCTCCTCGCTCTCCTCCTCCCTCTTTTCCCCCTCCCTTTTCTCACACTCTCGTCACAAAAACAAGCCCGCCAAAGCTAAGCCGCTCCCTCTAAAACTCGGCCCCGGTGCTGACGTGGCAAGGGGCAAGTCTGACGTAGTGAGGGGGAAGAGCACCGGCATCCGGGGAGTCACTGTTGCAACGACTGGGTCGGCACGAATCGTCTTGCGGGAAGCTTCCGAACTGGGCGGCATCAGAAGCACGACCGGGATTCGATTGTCGGTTATCAAGGAGAAAGAGAAGGAGGGAGGGCAAGGGGGAGGAGGTAAGGGAGGGGAGGGAGGAGAGGGGAAAGGGAGCGTGGGAGGAGGAGGAGGTGGAAGAGGAGGAAGGGGAGGTGGGGAAGGGGAATCGGGAGGGAAGGGGAGGGAGAAGTGGGTGGAGGGGCAGTTGCAGGTGCCTCCAAAGGACCCTCACAAGCTGGCTCAGATTGCACGCAAGAACAAACCCAACACTGCTGGACCCAAATGGTGAGCTATTCTAAGTGAGTTTTCTTATAACGGACCGTCCTGCATGTAGCGAGCTGCAGTCTACAGGTGCCCCCCAAGGATCCTCATAAGCTGGCGCAGATTGCACGCAAGAACAAACCCAACACTGCAGGACCCAAATGGTGAGCTGCTCTTAGTGAGGCGCCTTATAACGAACAGTCCTCATCTAGCTAGTTGCAACATACAGGGCTCCCCCTAAGGACCCTCACAAGCTTGCGCATTTTGCACGCAAGAACAAATCTTACACTGCCAGACCCAAATGATGAGCTGCTCTTGGTGAGGCGTCTCATAACGAGTCCTCCTTCATGTAGCTGCCAGTACCTCATTAGAGTATGAAATCCTGTTTTTTTTTTTTTTTTTTTTTTTGGCATGTGTTTGTCACTCCCAGGTATGACCTTCCTGCACCGGATATAACTCCCGAGATCAAGACAGAGCTTCAGCTGCTGCGGGTAATTTGCTGTCACAGTCTCAGTCACAGTCGCAGTCTCAGTCTTGATCTCAATCTCATTCCCAGTCTCAGTCTCGGTCTGATGATCCATGTAATTCTCCTCGACTGTGGCTGCTTTCCTGACTGCGCTCCTGTGTTCAGATGAGGAATGTTCTCGATCCCAAGAGACATTATCGATCGGCAGATTCTAAGAAGCTTCCTACACACTTTCAGGTACCCGTTCTCGTTATCAAGCACCAAGTGTAGCCTTTCTCTTGCCCTTGGTGTGCTGTTGCTTCCCGCTCTCTACTTGCTCTAGTTTCCATCGCATTCATCATTCGTCCCTTTCCTGTCATCAGCAGCATGTGCATATGAAAGATTTGCTATCCCCCTGAACTCCTTCCCACAACAACGCCGTATTGCATACGGGCACAGAGGTGGAGGGGGAAGCAGATTTCTACAGCAGCAGGTTGACAAGGAGGGAGAGGAAGGCGACAATTTTTACCTGTCACTGCTAGCCATACATTCTGCCCCTGCCTTCCCCCCCTTCTCTTGTCCTCATTATCAGATAGGAACAGTGGTGGAGGGAGCAGCAGACTTTTACAGCAGCAGGCTGACACGGAGGGAGAGGAGGCAGAGCTTTGCAGCAGAGCTGCTGCACGACGAGGATCTTAAGAAGTACAGGTGCGTGAAAATAGCAGGGCGGTGGTGAATGGTGCCAGTTCTGGGAGCAAGGGAGCTGCTGGTGGGACGGGACGGGACGCACAGGCTGATAAGTGGCAGAGCTTTGCAGCAGAGCTGCTGCACGATGAGGACCTCAAGAAGTACAAGTGAGGCCATCGCATGTTGCTGCTGCTGGGAAGGTTGCTCTGGTGCAGTTGGGTAGAAGGCGCCACTGCTGGTGTTAGCTTTGCAGCAGAGCTGTTGCACAACGAGGGCCGCAAGAAGTACAGGTGAGAAGAATTGGCAAGATGGTGTTGGTTGGTCGGTGCGGGTTGATCAATACTGCGACTTGTGGTTGGAGGCAGAGCTTTGCAGCGGAGCTGCTGCACGACGGAGGACCGCAAGAAGTACAGATGATTGCTGCAATCGCGTGTTGCTGCTGCTGCGGGTGCTGGTGTTGGTGTTGGTGTTGGTGTTGGTGTTGGTGTTGGTGTTGGTGTTGGTGTTGGTGTTGGTGTTGCAGCAGAGTTGCTGCTCGAAGAGGATCTAAACAAGTACAGGTGAGGCGATTGCAGGATGGTTAGGAATTACTGTACAACATCCAGTAGGCCTTTCTTGTGGTCGCAACTTCGGTTTGTCCCTTTTACCCCTGACCATTGTCCCAATTCTTCACCCATATAAGCTCCCTCCCTTCCTTCCCCCATCACCCTCCTTCCCCTCCCCTCCCTTCTCTCCCCCAACCCTTCCACCTCCCTCCCCCTCCCTCCCCCTCCCCCCCTCCCACCTTCCCCTGTGCTGTGGCCGATGCAGGAAGCGCAAGTTCCTGGAAATAGCGGAGGAGAATCAGCGCAAGGGCAGGAGGCATCTGGTGAAGAAGCAGGACAGGAAGAACCCCACATGGGCCAGGGCAGCGCCGAAATGAGAAGGCTTCAACCTAATTTCATGCCTTGTGTTAGCTAGGTGTTACACCTGGTGGAAGAGCCACCTGGTGAAGAAGCAGGACAGGAAGAACCCCACGTGGGCCATAGCAGCACCCAAATGAAGAGGCTGTGTCTTGCATGTCATGCATACTGCTATGTGGTATTACTGTAGAGGAAAGGGCAGGAGGCACATGGTGAAGAAGCAGGACAGGAAGAACCCCACGTGGGCCAAGGCCGCGCCCAAGTGAAAGGGCACCGATCTTGCATGTACCACCCGTACTGCATAGAGTAGAGGCATTACCAGACGAAGCAAGGCGAGGAAGTGAAGAACTGCACATGGGCCAGAGCAGCGCCTGAATGAGAAGGCAAGGCACCGATCTTGCATGTCGATATAGTGCCTTGTGTTAGCTAAGCCTTGAAACTTGGTGGAAGAGGCAACCTGGTGAAAAAGCAGGGTAGTGAGAACCCTGTGTGTAGGGCAGGGCAGTGCTGAAGTAAAAAAGCACGGTACGGTACCGTATCCTGCAAGGTGACTTTTGAGTCGACTCAAAAGCCACCCTGTGTGTAGGGCAGGGCATGGCTGAAGTGAGAGGGCACAGTATCCTGCAACTGGCAAAGAACCAAGCGCAGTGCCTCCGTGAGAAAGCACTAGCCTGCGTAGCTTAATACGCCAAATAAGAAGGCTGTATCTTGTGCATTTATTTTGTGCCATTGCTACCGCATCCCTTTACACTTGGAAGGACGGGTCACTTGGTGTAAAAGCAGGATAAGGCCTTCACATGTAGATCCAGTACTGCCTGTATTTTGCCTAAAGATCGTCAGAATAATCTGTGCAGGAATGAAGAATGACTAGCAAGAGTGAGATGCAAGAAAGCTGTGGAGAAGTCGAGGGAGTGCAGCTCGTAGTCACGCTGTGCTGCAACGTGTAGCAGCATCCGAAGAGTAGTCATCTTCGGGGTCGGGGAGAAGGTCTGGAAGAAGTCTCGAGCGACGTAACGCGCCTTGAAGGCAGGCGGAGAACCCGGCGGCCGCTTCACACTAAAAATCCACATGCCATCGACTACGTTCGCCCCAGGAGGAGGAACCTCGTTGACGTAGGTGCCTGTAGACTTCCAGGATGCCATCTCTGCGTCCATGGATGTCTGCCACTAAGAGGAGTACTCACCCGTGATCGCCTCAGCGTAAGAGCGCTGGATATGGATTTCAAGTGCATCCGGGTCTCCCTCAGGGCAAAACAGCATGGATGCGAAACGAGGTAAAACGGCCGCAAGACACTCAAGCTCAAACTGTCTGTCCTCAAGGACGTCACTGCTAAGGGCAGGCTCAACCCCGACGAACGGAGGATAGACAGACTCAGACTCTATAACAAGACTCGCGACGTAGCCGAGACGACTGCTAGCAGCAAAGTCAACTAGCTTAGTAACTAAGGCAAACGCAGCAATAGACTCAAAGTCAGGGTCAGTGACGACAGTGGCGAGGAGACGAGTGACAGTAGGACTGGCAGCACAAGCAAGGTCGGAATAAGGGTCAGGAACGTGCGGAAGAGAGGACGCGGGAGGCTGAGGCAGGAAAACACGCAGTGGAACAGAGGAAGGACGAAGTGTCATACCGTGAGTGCCTGGGACAGCAGGAGGACGAGGACGGGCGGCACGACGAGCACGAACAGGTGTGGAAGCACGAGTCTCAGGCTCACGACGCTCAGTCAGGGACTCAGTCACCTCAGTGTGAGGAGCAAGAGCAGGCAGCGGGGAGCCAGGTAGAAGCTGTGGCAAAGACTGGTCTGTCGGTGGACACAGGAGAGGTGGAGTGAGGCCAATGGAAGACGGGAGACTAAGAACCTGGCGAAGGACCGAGTCAGGCGGCGGCAGGGACGATTGCGGCTGCGGGTAGAAAAACAGTCGGCGCGGGGAAGTACCAGCAGCTCCAGCTCCTCCAACACCAGCACCACCAGCACCTCCAGCACCAGCAGCTACAGTAGCACCTCCAGCACCAGCAGCACCACGAGCCCCGGCAGCGCCAGCACCTCTAGCACCAGCAGTACCTTCAGCACCTCTAGTGCCAGCAGCTCTAGTAGCACCTCCAGCACATCCAGCACCAGCAGCACCACCTGCTACGGCAGCTCCAGCACCTCTAGTACGAGCACCTCCAGGACCAGCAGCTCCAGCACCTCCAGTACCTCCAGTACCACTAGCTCCAGCGCCTCCAGCACCAGCAGTACCTCCAGCACCTCCACTACCAGCAGCTCCACCTCCAGCACCAGTAGCACCACCAGCTCCGGAAGCTCCAGCACCTCTAGTACGAGCACCTCCAGTTCCAGCGGCTCCAGCACCTCCAGTACCTGCAGCACTAGCACCTCCAGTGCCAGCAGCTCCTGTAGCACCTCTGGCACTAGTAGCACCACCAGCTCCGGCAGCTCTAGTACCTCTAGTAAGAGCACCTCCAAGACCAGCAGCTCCCGCAGCTCCAGCACCAGTAGCATCAGCACCTCCAGTGCCAGCAGCTCCAGTACCCCCAGCACCTCCAGCACTCAACACCACCAGCTCCGGCAGCTCCAGCTCCGGCAGCTCCAGCACCTCCAGTACGAGCACCTCTAGGCCCAGCAGCTCCAGCACCTCCAGTACCTCCAGCTCCAGCGCCTCCAGCACCAGCAGCACCTCCAGAACCTCCAGCACCAGCTGTACCTCCAGGACTAGTAGCTCAAGCACCTCCACCACCAGTAGCACCTCTAGGACTAGTAGCTTCGGCACCTCCAGCACCAGCAGCACCTCTAGTACCTACATCACCAGCAGCACCTCCAGCACCTCCAGCAGTACCTCCAGTACCTCCAGCACCAGCAGTTCCTCGAGGACTAGTAGCTCCAGCACCAGCAGGACCATACCCTCCACCACCAGGACTGCCTCGCCGAACGATCCACGCACGAATCGCCTGCGGCGAGAGCGTCTCAAGTAGATCAGGCTGTGGTGGCTGTCTAGCTCCAGGACCTCCAGCAGGGTCACCCACAGCTCCACCGCCACTAGGACTCGCAGCACCCCAGAGTCAGCACCCCCAGTCGCAGCACCCCAAGAACCAGCACCCCTTGTCGCAGCACCCCAAGAACCAGCACCGCCAGTTGCAGCCACCCCAGTCGCAGCACCCCCAGAACCCTCACCCTCTTTCTCAGCACCCCCAGGCTCAGCACCAGCAGTCTCAGCTCCAGAGTCCACAGCAGCAGGCTGCGGAGGCGGCAAAGACGGCCGAGGCAGAAAGCCAGGGGGGGTCTCCAAGCGTTGAGAGCGGCGAGTGGCCGCCGTGTTGTCAGCGGCGGGGTCACCCCCCTCAGATGGGCCAGAGGAGTCAGAAGAGATCTCCAAAGGCTCAATCAAGGGGGGTGGGTCTACTTGAGACACACCTGAGGGAGCAGGACCCTCTGGGGGGAGGGGGTCTACCGGGGGGAGGGGACTGGTACCAAGAAAAGAGGCGCTAGGGGGACCGGGTGGGACGCGTGCGGGTGTAGCCTGTAGAAACAGACAGACTCGTCAAAGGTGACGTCCTGGGAGGAGAAGACTCGATGCTCGTGCGGGTGGTAGAACTGCCACGGCGGGGCGTCGGTGGTGAAGCTAATGAAGACGCAGCGGAGAGTGCGAGAGGAGAGCTTGCTCGCTTTGGCATCGCGAACAAGGGAGAGCGCGCCCCAGACCCGAAACACCGACGCATCGCCAACCTTCCGCATCCACCGGAGTGTGGGCGAGGTCTCTGGCTCAGAGACACGGGGCCAGAGGTTGAGCTGATGCGCTGCGTATCGGACCGCAAACGAGCACAGAAAATGGGGAGCAACCGCATGGATCATGGAGGTACGAGCAACCTCCATGATCAAGCCAATGCGACGCTCAGCAATCCCATTTTGCTAAGGAGAGGCCGGAAGCGTGAACGACTGGCAGATGCCCTCATCTCGACAGAACTCCGCAAGGAGGTTAAAAGAGAACTCACCGCCCCTGTTAGAGTGCATACGTAGGACTTGGAAGTCCCGACAAAATCGCTCGCACAACGAGTGATGAGTAGCTCGGATCCAGGGGATCAAAACACCGCTGACGTTTGCCTTGCGCCACAAGGGGAAGACAGTGGTGTAGCGTGTGTAGTCGTTAACAACCAGCAGGAAATAGCGCTCTTGGTCCGTCCCAGCGACAGGGGCCGGGCCCCAAACGTCCATGTGGAGAGTTTGCAGAGGAGCAGTGGTCGGAGGAAACTCGGAGGAGTGAGGAGCGGCGCGCTGCCGCCCCTCGACGCAGGGAAGGCACGGCGGGGCAGGCGAGCGCGGGAGGGAGGGCAGGGACCTGGGAAGGCCAGAGACAAGGAGACGGGAGTGCATGCTGTGGAGACGCAGCAGCGAGGGGTGACCTAGGCGGTGGTGCTAGAGGAGAGTCTGGTGAGAGAGTACCCGACACGAGCAAGACGCTGCAAGCTGACCAGACGCAGACACCCGACTCGACGCAACCACCTGACTTGACTCAGCCACCTGTGCAGACGAAGTGGTCAGGGTGTACAGACCGGACCCAGGCTGACAAGTGAACGTAGCAAGGTGATGGCCAGTCCGTGAGAACTTACAGATCGCCACACGCTGTCCTCCAGAATGAAGGTGTCAACCCAGTTCATCGAGAACGCGGGTAGGTGGAGACCTGAGAGAGACCCGGAGGGGACTGCCAGACACGGGAGGACAGTGGAGGCTCGCGCAACTACTGGGCCCCCAGTGGGGTAAGCCAATGAGACTGGGACATTTGCTGCGAGTGGTGTGACTGTGGTGCAATCACGAAAGAAGCAACGTGAAGCGCCTGAGTCAAGCGTGAAAGTGTGCAAGGCCTCAGTTGAGGCAGGACCTGTGGTAGTAGACACACTAGCACCTAGAGCGTCCGCAGACTCACGAGCACCTAGAGCTGCAGCAGACTCACCAACACATGGAGCAACATCAGACTCACTAGAACCGAGAGCAGCAGCCTCTACACGACCAGGGACGCATCGCTGAGAAGCA